GACTCTATTAAACAAAATGAACTTCAGTCAAAATGATTGAAAAATTTGATGTAAGTATTTGTGGTAAGAATTAAATTTATATTTACTTATAAGAAAAAAGTTCCAATGATGCTTACAAGGAACAGAGTGTAGCCTGTAATGGCTGTGTGCTCTGACAATGTAGATGCAGTGTGTGAAGTTCTGACAGTTAAGTTTGCAAACTCACTCCAGAAAAAATGCTGCATACCTCATTGCTGAATATCACCATGGTCACCTTCGAAGTACTCCCCTTAGGAAACTATGAACTGATGTTAGGTCTTAGTCCACCTGTCAAAGCAGTTTTGGAATTCTTTTTCTTGAATGGCCATCAGAGGTGTTGTCTCAAGAATATCAGAGTTTGAATTAGAGCAACAAACGAACATTAAACTTCTTATTAAACTTGGTAGGAGTGGAAATGAAGTCAGGGACATGTTAGTCTAAGTTTAGCAGATAATGCCACAAAGAAAATGGTGGGGTACAAATGGATTAAATGTTTTTTATAGGGGAGAGAAAGCATCGCTGATGAAGAGAGTAAGTAACAAACAGAACTGATGAAAATATTGCAAAAATTTCTCAATCTGTACATCAAAATTTTTGGCTAACTGTGAGAAGCATAACAGATCAAATAAACATCAACAGAGAAGCAGTTAGGAAAATCTTAACTGAAAATCTTCGCATGAGAAAAGTGTGTGCAAAAATGATCCTAAAGGATCTCTTGCATCATGACAATACACCAGCTCACACAGCACTGTCTGTGAGGGAGTTTTTAGCCAGTAAACAAATATCTATATTGAAACACCCTCCCTACTCACCTGTTCTAATCCCCGATGAACTTTTTTCTTTACCCAAAGATAAGGGACATATTGAAAGGAAGACATTTTGAAGACATTCAGCACATCTAGGGTAATATGATGACAGCTCTGATGGCCATCTCAGAAAAAGAGTTCCAAAATTGCTATTCAACAATGAGGTCTGTAGTACTTTTTCTAGAATGAGTTTGCAAACTTAATTGTCTGTCTTCGTAACTATAAGAAATGCCTGGAGAGTGCTGAGAACTATGAAAAGTAGAATTAGCTTGTTGATTGCCTTATAGTCATTAACTGAAGTAAAAGGATATTACTTCGAAACAGATGTTGAAGAAGAGGGAAGGTTGAAGCAATAAAAAGTTGCTAGCTACTTTCAAAATTGCTCATTGGTGGGAATCAATAGCCATTCACCAACAACAAAAAGAATTACATAAAGGGATTAAAATAAACATAACCACTAGAGCAAAAATGTAAAGACACTTAAAAATAAGCCAAATAAAATAGATCTTATAAAGACCTTATCAACCAGGGTACCTGCATAATGAACATTTGTATACCTAACCCTGAATTGTACCCCATATTTTTAAAATAAAAAATTAAAAGAGAAAAAAAGATATCAAGCATATTTATCATTTCAATAGGCATTCACCAACAACAAAAAGAATTACATAAAGGGATTAAAATAAACATAACCACTAGAGCAAAAATGTAAAGACACTAAAAAATAAGCCAAAGAAAATAGATCTTATAAAGACCTTATCAACAAGGGTACCTGCATAATGAATATTTGTATACCTAACCCTGAATTGTACCTCACATTTTTAAAATAAAAAGTTAAAAGAGCAAAAAAGGTACCCAGCATATTTATCATTTCAATAAATATAAATGGGCTTATTACATCAATTAAAAATATTTTCAGATTGGTTAACAAAGCAAAATCTAGCATTATACTTTGTATAGAGACACACTTAAAACACAGATTCATTTGTATACCTAATCATGAATTTTACCCCAAATCTTTAAAATAAATTTTTTTTAAAAAAAGATAGAAAGAAAAAAAAAAACAGATCAGGGAGGATTTAAACAAATGGTACATAATAGTAAGAGATTAAATACTTTTTCTCAAGATTGGGAACAAGCAAAAATGTCCTCTTTCACCACTCTTAGTCAACATTGTACTGGAAGGCCTAGCAAGCACAATAAAACAACAAAAAGAAGAGGTATACAGATTGGGAAAGAAGAAATAGAACTCTCTTTATTAGCAAATGACATGCTGGGGTGGCTGTGAGTGTGCCACTGCACTCCAGCCTGGGTAGCAGAGTGAGAGTCCAACTCAAAAACAAAACTAACAAACAAACAAAAGCAAATACATGATTGCCTATGTTGAATCTACCCAAATAATCTAAACAAACAAACAAAAAACTCTTGGGACTAATAAGTGAGTATAGCAAGGTTTCAGGAAACAAGGTCAATACATAAAATTGAACTGTTTTCCTATATACTAGAAATGAACAATTGGAATTTGAAATTAAAAAAGAAAAGAAAGCCATTCACAATAGCAACAAAAAGTAAAATACTTAGGTATAATTCTAACAGAATATGTACATGATCTGTATGTAGAGAGTTATAAAACACTGATGGAAAAAATAAAGGAAGATTTAAATAAATGGAGAGATATTCCATGTTCATGGATTGGAAAGACTCAGTATTGTTAAGATATCAATTCTTCCCAACTTGATTTATTGCAATTTCAATAAAAATCTCAGCAATTTTTTGTTAGTTATCAACAAACTAACTTGAAAGTTTATATGATAAGGTAAAGGAACTAAAATAGCCAACTCAGTTCTAAAAAAGAACAGAATTAGATAATTTACATTATCTCATTTCAGGGCTTACTACAAAGCTATCATTACCAAGACAATAATGGACACATTGATCAAAAGGACATAATAGAGAACCCAGAAATAAGCTTGCACAAATATAATCAACTGATTTTTGATGAAGCACAAAGGCAATTTAATGGAGAAATTACATTCTTCTCAACAAGTAGTGCTGGGACAATTAGACATCCATTGGTAAAAAATGAATCTAGACACAGACCTCACAATTTAAATAAAATTTAACTCAAAATGGATCATAGACCTAAGTATAAAATGTAAAATTTCTGGAAGAAAACAAAAGTGGAACTCTGTGAACTTGAGTTAGTTGATGAGGTTTTATATATAATATAAAAAGCACAATCAATGAAAGTAAAATTTGATAGGTTGGGTTTTAATACAGATTAAATCTTCCGCCCTCTGAAAGACACTGTCAAGAGAATGAAAAGATAAGCCGTAGAGCCGGGAGAAAATATTTTAAAAACATTTATCTGATAAAGAACTTGATCCAAAATATCCAAAGAACTCTTAAGACTCAACAACAAGTAAACAAGCAACTTAAATTAAAAATGAGCAAAAGATCTGAACAGATACTTCATCAAAGAAAATATACAGATTGCAACTAAGCATATAAAAGGACACTCAACCGTTATTTGTTAGGGAAACATAAATTAAAACGGCAGTGAAATACCATTACGTATCAATTAGAGTGGCTAAAATCAACAACAGACAATACCAATTCTGGTGAGGATGTGGAGCAGTAAGACTCTCACTCATTGCTGATGGGAGTCCAAAAATTAGCATGGATTTATGTTAAAAACACTCAACATAAAAGAGATTTATGGATCTTCTCTATACATATAATATATACTTAGCTTAAAAGCTAGCATTTTACTTAAGGGAAAATACTAGAAGCTTCATCACCAAAATCACGGCCAACAAGGATGACCACTATCCCATTACTGTTTAACATCGAGATGGAGGTATTAGCTAATACAGTTAGACAAGAGAAAGCAGTTAGAGACTTTGAAACTGAAAAGGAAGTTAACGTGATCTTTATTTTCAGTTGCTGTGGTTATTTTATGGAAAACCCCAAAGTATCAATGGAAAAATGGCTACAAACAATAAGAAAATTGGTAAAATAGTAGGTAGACTTCATATATATATATATATATATACATAAAGATCAGTAGACAGACATATGGTAGCAAAATGATGACAAAATACTTAGGTATAAATTTAACATGTGTGTCCAAGATTTATATGAGGAAAACACAAAACACAACTGAAGCCAATGGAAAGGGAACTATGTTCTTGAATAATAAAATTTAGCATTATAAGATGCTGTTTGCTCTTCCAAGGTTAGTTCATTTATACATTTAATGAAATCACAATAACAGTATCCTCAGTATTTTCTGGGTCAGACAGATCAATTAGAAAGTTCACTTGAGAGGATAAATGAGAAAGAACAGTTGGAAAATGTATGGGGGATAAAAAAGTAAGGGTCTTGGGTATGGGTAGGATTAGTTCTACTAGATATTAAAACTTACTTGCAAAATCTTTATAATTAAAGTAGAATGGTATTTGTTCATGAATAAAAAGACAATGGAACAGAATCAAAAATCAGAAATAGACTTCATTATTTATACAAATTTAGTATGCTATAGAGGCAGCACTCAAAATCAGTGGGGATATAGGATGGAATTTTTAATAAGAGGATTAGGATAACTGGAGAGTCATAAGGAAAAAGTTAAATTAGATCGATACCTCATACCATTCAACAGCATAAATTCCAAGTGGGTCAGATATTTATAGACAATGTAATTATACAAGTAAAAAAACAAGAAAACATGGGTAAATTCCTGTATACTCTTTGCATGGGAAAAAACTTTTCTAACTATGACTTAACATCCAGGAACAATAAGGGATTTTTGCATGAAAAAAATCATAGACACTATAAAAAGAAAAAAAGGTTAAACAAAATTGACATGGTCAAATAATATATGCACCTGGGTTTAGTGATAAGGAAGTTATTTAGTGACAAAGAAGTAGGTAACCTTCACAAGGGTTATTTGGAGAGCATGTGGGAGGTGGAGTCTAGATTAGAATTAATGGAGAATGAATGGGAAATGAAGAAATGGAGATAGCTGGTGTCCACGATCTCTCTGGGAAATTAGGTAGAGAAGGGAGTAGACAGAGCACAGTTGGAGTGGGGGAGGAGAGGCAGGATTGATGGATTTGGGACTGACAGGTCACACAGGTAGAGGCTTCAGGTAACACTGGAAAAAACTGCTCCTACCTTTGTGGAGTTCAGGGAAATGACAAAAATTATCCAGGTAACTGCTAAACATGACATCAATATCAGCAGCATTTTTTGATGCATCATATTTGAGGACATGACAAGTGTCCTGGGAGAGATGACACAAGAGAGAAATTGTGTGAGATGTGAAACTCACTGTACTCACTCATTGTTTCATTTGTAAGATGTCATCTGCCTCCAAGATTTTGTTCCTCCATTGTGAGCCACTCTCTTCCTTTCCTCTCCTGAGCAACAGTCCCACACTCCCAACTTCTTTATCCACCTATTGGCTACTCCTTATCCAAGTTCTGGTTAGAATTGTTACTTCCTCCTTCCGAGGCCTAAAATGGAAGTCGGATGATCCTCATATGTTCTCTCACTGCACTCTGTATTTTCTCAGTTATAACACATCACAATGACGGAGAGAAGCAGAAAAAATAATTTATCTTTATGTCTTTTGGAGGTGACTTGGGATAGCTGATGAGACTACAAGAATGTGCTCATGTTACAAAACATAATCTGTAAATTGCCCTTACAGAAAGTTGGTCCTGTTAATTGAGCAGGGAGGCAGGATGGGTAGCTTTTGTTTTGCTGAGCACCAAGTATGAAATTTGAAAGTAGAAACTTTTTCAGGACTGGATTACTCCGAATAGCAAAGAAGAGATGATTCAACAAGGATAGGGACTAAAGAGAAAGGTAAAGGAGGAGGAAATAGAAAGAGACAGAGAAAAGGAGAGAGAAGTTCCTGCCCACTATGTCTGTGGAGAACAGAAGTAAGATTGCTTGCTAAGTTATCAATAATGCAGAAAATAATAGTTGTTGGAGAGGATGTGGCGAAAAGGGAACACTCCTACACTGTTGGT